TAGTTTTTAACCCTGTGCAGATTCAGCGTGAACAACTGAGATGCCTTTCAACCAGCTAATCAATATGAAACTGTATTCATACTGTCAAAGTTACATGGCGTACAAGTACATGGTATCTTTCCCTTCTTTTCCTCAGTGAATTCAAGAACATTTTAAGATGTGCCCCATCACTCAGTAATTGCATGAGATCCACTTGACCTTTAGAAGGAATAACTCCAAGTTATCTGCCTTCACTGTGTGTTTTAGACTTTTATTAATGAACTCGAACAGAGAGCCCTTTGCCTGCTATCTAAATGTCATCGGACATCATGAAACACTGGGGAAACTCCATACCATGCTTGAGGACTTTTAAAGCAGGTTTTGTTTTATTATTTTGCCTTTCCCAGACTTTTCTTTGGAGGATACTCTGACACAGCCTGCCTGAGGCATAAGCCAACTGAGCTGCTACTCAGGGCCAGCATGGAAATTACGATGTGAACTCTCTTTGGCTTCCACTGTTCATAGTTGGGCCAATTTCCAGGACAGGGATTAGGCCTGGCACTAAAATAAAGAGGCCTTTAAAATCAGATTATCAGACATTGTTTAGAATAGTTCAGAGTTTAGCCTAATCTTAAATGAACTGTACTTATTTCCTCAAATGAATGCATGAATTTAACTTAAATTCAAATGCTGCAAGGTTTAGATTTATACTGTTGTCAGTGGACAAAAACCAATGAGCAGCTCTCTCCAGACAGGTGCCTAATGTCAGGAGTCAATTATTTTAATCAAACCATCTGTCCACGATGCTCGAAGAAAATGCAGTGCCCTGCTGGAGCTCAGACTTGCATGTAATTACACGTCAGCTACAGAGATGCACTTGGAGGCTGCAACAACTGTGATTGGTCAGCTTTGGTTGCTTGTGTTTTCAAGTTTCTAATGCCGGTGGAGACTGTTGATAGTGAAAGGCCAAGACTCATTTATCATTGGCTTTCCAGAAACACACATCTACACACACCCACTGCAAACCCTCTGGTTACTGCAGCCGTTGCTCTCTATCACAGTAAATGAAAGTACATAAACACAGCAAATGTAAAGCAATACTCCTATCTACCTATACTGTTCTATGTGTCTCAGGGTTTTAGCAACCTGACCTCAGGCCATTTTTCTTTTCTTTTCTTTTCTTTTCTTTTCTTTTTTTTCGAGCTCAGTTTGGATTGTTTTAAAATGTATAAATGTATCTCTTTCTCATTTGGTGGCAGAGCCATTAACCCCTTGCATCAAGTATAATCCCAGCTTTAGTACATGTAGTTTTTCTGATAGAAGATGTTTTATGTGTCCTGCAAAAGAAGGTTGGCCAGTTAAAATGAAAAAGAATACCGTCAGCACCAGTCGTTGTGACGAGCCTGTGGAGGACAGTCCATGTAATGACTCTTGTCCACCAGGAGCAAAAAAGCAAATAGCAAGATGTTATTGTAGAGCTCCAAACTCTGTGGGAGGAGGTCGGATGGATGGATGAGTGAACAAGACGTTGGACTAACATTGGCAACTGCTGCTGTTTCCTCAAACAAGTCCTTTGTGGATATACCTTATATAGTTTGTGTGGCTTTTGTCTTTATTGACAGCTCAAGATACACAGGAGGGGGGGAGAGAGAGAGAGAGAGAGGAGAGATAACATGCAGCAAAGGGCCACAAGTCGGACCCGAACCGATGGCCGCCACCCAACCAGGATATACTTTAATCATAGCGTTGTCAGATCATTTTGAAATGGTGGCGTCCTGTTGATAGGGGTGTCAGATCAGAAAATGCTCTTGTGTCTTTCTGGTGGGAATGAACCAATGATACATTTTGTCATTTAATTTGGAGAATTTGTTGCATGAACAAATTTAGCCATTCTCAGAAACTTCAGCTGACATTAGTTAGCTACTGGTTCATTTCAGATATTTTTCAGAGTTTGCTGAGAGTTTCTACACTCACCCCCTCACTCTCTCACTCTTTCCATCTCTGGCACTTATTTTTTTGACACTTCCCTAGACCTGGTTTCTCTGGAGATCACATAGAAAAATTTATGAGACCTGTCACTCAGATGAAGCATTCATTCTGGGTGTCATTCTTTATCCCCTATCCATTTGCTATCTTTCTTTTGTTCCTTCTTTTCTGTTTCACTCTTGCTTCTTTTCTTTTTTCCTTTCTCATCCTTCCACTTCATCTACAACATGCGCACAGACCAAAGACACACAAGCACCACACAACCATTTCATGCAATGTGCACACACTTCAGTATGTCATCAAACACATACTGAAGTTTTGTATTATTGCTGACATTAAAAAAAAAAATGTTCATGTAAAACAGAAACCTTCCCTTATGGTCTTTCATATCTCCCAGGTATGGCAGTCATGACAAAGAGGACAGATTGCAGCTCACACACGATGACGAACATAATATCTGACATTTTTATTTCACTTGCATGGGAATTCTTTATTTTTATAATTTCTTTTCTTTCCTTTTTTTCTTTTCTTCTAGAAAAAAAAAATCCTTTCTACATACAGTGCTGCTAATGTACAATCACTCCTCACTCCACAGTCTTCTATAGTTACCGCTTGCCCGCAGCGCAGCATAGCAATACAGAAGGTGATTTGATATATACAGATTTTATTACACTACCCAATCATTATCATAATTTTACGAGTTTTCCGTCACATTTGTTACGGAAACTGTTCGTCTGATGGCTGTGCCGTGCCTCTGCTCTGACATCTCAAATCCGTTTTGCCACGTGCTGTCATGATCCATCAGTTTAATTTGAAAGATCACAATCGTACTTAGCCACAAGCATCGATGCTGTTATTCAATAAGAAGGCCATGTTTCATTCTTCATCTGTCACAGGAACCAGCGAGAAAAGTGTAAGGGGAATGCGTCTTCCTTTTCATCCTGGACATGGGCGGCTGACTCATGAGACCTGCCGCTCGGAGATGTGTGGACACGAGGTCACAGGAATATCAATGATTTTCTAAAGGTCAAAGGTCAACTTCATGAAACTCATGCTTCTTTTAACACTTGAGAGAATACATTAACAACTGGCATTTGAGATAAGAGGGGAATGTTGCTGAAGTGGATGGAAAATGATTAGCACCCTAAGGAATACTACAAGACACAAAATGACACAGCTTTCTGATTCGAATACCACCACAACTGTACATCCAAATATTCAGATTATTATAATAAGCATTTCCAATTTTTTTTTATCTTCTTATTCTTTCCAATTTTATTATTATCCTGAAAATACAAATGACATCTCATTCCAAAATATTTTGGTGAATTAACCCTTTTGATCATAGTGAGCAGGTACACAGCTCAACCAACACGAGGCATCGGATCTCTCATCTCGTGTTCATGTTGACCTGATGTTTAATTACAGTAAGCTGAACCAACCATCCATCCTACTCAAAAATGTCCAATGTGCAAATTGTTACATTAATTTCTATTTTCATATTAGTAGTTTATTTCACTAATATCAGAATAAATAACACAGCAATACCAGTTTTGATTATCAAACTGTTTCTTATTCTATCATCTGTGCTCACATGCTCACTTCCAATAATAGTTCAAAAATAACCAAAAATTAAGTCCAGATTGAACCTGTTCCTCATTCCCCGATGCAATGGTCTGAGATCACAGTGCGTTTAGGAGCTTCAGATGAACACATCAAGTCAATTTGTGTTTGTATATTTGCAGGCTTTCACCATACACTTTGTCTCAAACAAAACAAAGCACAAATGACAACATATTCAAATTATTAATAAGGATGTTGAAGGACCAATCCCCTGGACTGCACTCTCTGTGCATGCTAAATAATATAATGGAAACACATTGCAAACTAAGTGCAAAGGAACGCATACATTTAGTGTCATGGTATTCTCATCACACTTCTATGCAAATGGCACCTGGACACAGAATATTCTATTTAGCTGCGGCTCAATTAATCAACTTTAAGCTCACACAAAAACAACTGCTAAATACCAACATGACATAGAGTTTAAATCAATATTAGAAAATATATTTAATTACCTAAATGTGTTGTGTTTCAACTAACGTTATAGACGGTAGGTGATAATTAACATAATTTGGCTTCCACTGTGAAACAAATCAAACAAAATACTGACAACTGTGAATACTGTGAGTTTGTTAAAAGTGTCTATCAACTATCAACAATTTGTTACATGTTAATTACACAGCATTTAACATATTTAAACTTAATTTTAGTGCTTCAAACTATGTCTTGCATGGTGTGCTTAGACAGTTTGTAGCTGTCATGAATAGAACAAAGCAACAATAGTTACTTACCATTATATTCAATGCAATCCCGGGGAAATTCATGCTTTCTACTAGTATTTTTCCACTGTTAAGTGAAGGCAAAAATGTTTGTTCCTAATTGTGAATATTAATAAGTTTAGACAAATTTACTATTTTCATTTTGACCTTAAGATAAATTGTCAGCTGACTAAAACATGTAAGTGTAACAAACATTTAATTGATATTCACTGATACTATGAATCATTTCTTAAAGCACACGGCTCCAGTGGAGTGGGGACTAAGATGGTTTGCATGAGGAGTTTTACAATGCAGAACAACATTAGTGATGGCACTGCAGCAGACCATCAACATGTTCTACTGACTTATAATATGAATGTAACAACTGTAAAATGTGCACATTATACAACAAGCACAAATGGCAACAAGAAGAGGATACATTCTCCTCTTACAGAACATAATAGAGAGTACAATGACGTCAAATTATTCACCTCATCTTTGTCACATCATTAAAAGCAAATAAAATGTAGTTTATTTTGATCAGCCCTGGTATGTAGACATGAGATTTTGAGCCCCTTTGAAATGATGTTTCTCTGCAGGGAGCCTTTGAACATGCCCAATTCTTTGCCTGTAAGATCTCAGAGACGGAGAAATAGCAATGCAGTTGCTATTGACAGGAGGAGCTGCGGCTGGATTTAAGAAAATGTCAGGGTTGTCAGGAATCAAAAGCACTCCTCTGAGCGTGGAAAAGGACGGGATTTGGCTTGAAAGAATAATGTTCTTTTATTGCAAACACTTGATCTTATACAGAAATCAGCTCTGCCATGTGAAGGTGAGTGAATAACACTTCATATAATGTAACATCAGTACATGTTCATGTATGGTAATAAGAAAAGATAGGGTATCAAGAGTTTTCTTCTTTTTTGTTTGTCTTTAGATGTTTCACCAGGTGAGTTTTTAAGTTGATTCTACACACGAGCGAAGGTCAGTAGTCATATTTGTCTTGCTGGACAAGAGACACATCCATGTCAAGGTATACGTAATATATAGATATTATCCGTAATTAATATTCCTTCAAAGCCTTCATGAATACTGATATTGCATTTAACTGATCATTAAAGCAGACAATGGGCACGTTATCTAATTCTGTCCATTGTATTACTATGATTTAGAATGATTTAATATGTGTCTTCAAAGCCAGCAAAGAAAAGAGATTTATTTACATAATACGATAACAGGGACAGTTCATGTCCACCTTCAGAGGTTTTTATGTGTTGGAGGCAGGTCTAATAACAGTAAAAAAAAGATGATTAGCTAGGAGTAGAAACACAGGTGGAGACTATAGTAAAGTATCAGATCATCCTCTGGTGTGATCTGTAGAGAAGGCAGGTGCTTTTTATATAAACACTTAATCAAACTACAGTGTGTGATGTAAAAGGGTTGTTCACAATGACAACTGCAGTTTTACCACTTCTGCAATAACACTTCACATACTACACCTTAAGTACCTGTTCATGCAGGTTTAGATATAAATCAACAGTAATTGAGACATATCCATGTCTGTTAGGGATTAAAAAATGGTCATAAACACCAAAGCAAATACATTATTTTGTTGCTGTATTAGTTATAGGCTTTCTTTATTTTTTCATAAAACACTATATATAACTTTACATGACAATAATATGTCAGACTGTGTGTTTGTCAGGTTGTTTTCTGCCCCCAAGTGGCCCAAAAAATATATTAATGTAGTTTTAAGAAAACAAAATTTCAATACTTGATGTTAACAAATCAATACATATTGTTTTTTCTAGGTACATTATATTGCAAGTAGGACAGTGGCTCTCCCCTCTAACCTGCGCATGTTCTAATTTTTTCCAACCCAGCTGTATACAGCAATGCTGTTGTGGAGCCTCAATGTCAAATCATCAAACAGACCAAATGTCTAATTGTTTTTAATTCTTGTTGAGTGAATAAGGTTTGCCATAAAGGATAATTATAGTGCAGAAATATTTATTTCTTTAACGCAAATATTCAAAAGTCAGTTTTGTGTGTCCTGACACCTTTCAACAGCAGCTGAAAACAAATATAAATGTTGTTTATGAAATACAGTGAATGGAGATTTACCATTTCATTAAACTGGTGCTAACAGTCTTGATAACAAATCCCCTGCTATATCTCTTGTAAAACATTCAAGTAACATTCAATACTATATGTTCTGATTTACAGATCTACACTGATCAGTGACCTTTAAAAGCACTTTTTTAAATTGGAGCCCTTTTGGATTCACACTTAAGAGTGTGTATGTAAAATAGAAGAAAACATGAGAATGTCGTAAGGTGTTTACAAAAAAGGAAATGACAGCTGCAAGGTCATTGGACACATGTCTGTGCACTGTGAGTATTATTACTGTAGTCAATCTTCTTCATCAGTGTATATTCATATAAACCAACTGCAAGCCTAATGGAGCTTGTTGGGCCCTTCTGCATACATCGATCGAGGATGTGTGAGTTGGAGAGGGTGGGTGTTGGTCGGCTATTGGAGTAGTATGTGTGTGCGCTATAGCTTTGGCAAGTACAACAAACCTGAGGGGAAACAAGCAAGTGCACTCGCCTTTCTCCAACCTCTACCCAATTAAAGGGAATGAAAAATCCATGAGCGCTCATTAGATGGGTTTACAGGTGGCTAATGAGCTGATATTTAAAACTTGTCACTTGCCGTGTCTTGCTCTCTCTCTCAGTCTCTCTCCCTCTTTTTCTTTCTGTCCCTGGCTACCCTCCAGGACAAAGCACCAGCGGGTCTGCTGGGGTGCCAATATTGCTCTGTATCAGCAAAATGTCAGCCATGAACACACACACACACACACACACACACACACACACAGGATCCAGACTGCATATCCCCAATGCCTATTTCCATCAACTGGAAGGACGCATTCAAGATGGACGACCTTAATTTAGCTCTGGTAATATAGGTTTGTAATAGGGTATCTGACTCGAATGAACTATTTCACTTGTGTCTGTAATTATGCACATGATAGCCGTTCGAGCCCTTATGGCATCAGGCTGGTTTGAAAAGTTATACTTGTTGTCCTCATTAAAAATCACCTCACCTTTTTAACCACCGTGTGATAAAAAGGGTAATTCCACCATGACCCATCGCCTCGTCTTTCATGCCAGTAGTCGATGCGTAGGCAAAAGCTGCGTCAGGTAGATTGCCTGCAGACCATAACCACTCTAGTTGCAGTGCAGGAAATATTACCTCAGTAATCTGCAGCAAGAGGCATTTCAGCAGGAAATGGCTCCCTGTGCTGGGTTGTATATATGGCCGGGGCTGAGTGGAGCTCATAATTCAATGCGGCCGTTGGCACTTTTCATCCTCTGTCTGCTGGGGCTGGGTACTGGCTAAATGACAGTGAAAGCCACAATGGCACTTCCACTATTGCTTTACGACCAGCAGAGACCCTGGGGCACCATGACTGGAGTGCTAAGTGAGAACATGGCTGCCAATCACTTGATATTAATCTCTCTGTGTTCTGGAGAAACAGATGATATGAGAGGGGGAAACCTGCAGCGGGGAGGAGCTGGGAAAGTGGACCCAGGTGGTGCAAGGCCGACAGAAATTAGCTGTGCGTCCGCTCAGAGCATCCAAGGGCTTCACACTTACCTGCACACACACACACATAGCCACCTGTATGCACAAAGACAGTGAAGGTCAGTGGTCTATAGCCTTCTCTCTGCCATAGAGAATACTGCGGTAAGACATGAAAGCTCAGAGCGTATCACCCGATGGACTGCTTTGAGCGCCGCATATGATTTTATTGATTGCTTGCTCACACATACTGTATAAAAGGTCAAGTGTAAAGATATATGAAGCCAAGTAGAAAGATCAAAGGTACAGACATGGTGAACCCCTGCAGCTCTTTTGTTTACCCTTATATGCTATACTGGCCTAATATGATGTTTTTGTACATTATAATATAGTTGAATGACCATAGCACTTTTAAACAGAAGTGCTCATAGTATAAAATATGTACGAAATTACAGTAATGCAACATGAAACTTCAATGATGACACACAGTGATGATGATTCATAAATCTCAATTTACTGCTCACTACAGGGGAAACAGAGGGTTTATTATATAGTGAGTAATGAATGAGTGAACAAGGGAGTGAGTTCAGATGCAACCACAGTGTCCAAGAATGCTGGCTTGTTGTCTCTGTCCTCTACAAAAAAGGACCAAATCCAACTGGCTCTGTCCCAAACAGTGAACCCAGTTTGTTAAAACCAGACTGTGTAACTTGATAAGAAGTAAAAGAAATAAATAACAAGCATTATATAAAAACTAAATTAAAAATAGAATAAAAACTATACAAGAAAGAATTAGACGGTAAAGTGACAGTAATGTGATTAATAGCAGCAGAGTCAACAGTCTATGTTAACATTGTACACCAGACTAATATATAATATGATTAAATAATGGTACTGTATTAATGTAGAGATATACCGTAATATATACATAAAACATAGCTGGGTGGTTCAAGTGGTATTATAGACTGTGATTTCCAGTCTGATGGCAGCAGGTACAAAGAAGTGTCTGAAGCGGTCCTTTTTGCACCTGGGTGGGACGATGAGGGTAAGAGAGGTTATCTAGGGTGGTTTTGATCTTGTTAGACTCTCCAGCCTTGATGCCACTGCCCCAACACACCCCAGCAAAGAACAGTGCACAGGCTACTACAGACTGATAGAAGATAACCAGGAGCCTGTTGTACACACTGGATCTGAGTCCCATCAGAAAGGAACAATAAGTTCTGTCCATTCCTGAAGGGGGCGTCAGTGTCAGAATACCAGTCCAGTTTTTTTGTCCACTCTCTCCACTTCTCCCCAGTTGGATGATAGCCAGGAGAGAGGGCCTCCAATTCCTCCGGTTGTCCAGCTTACTAAAATATCGAGCTTCAGGTGATTGTTGCACCATGTGACAAAGCTCTCTATCACGTACTCCCTCTCATTATTATTTAGTATTCTAAAAACATCTGAAGGTGGCAGAAACCAGTCGAAACAGAGGTCTGAGGTGTAGAGAGTGAAGAGAGTGAAGAGGAATAGCACCAGTACATTTCCCTGATTTGTACCAGTATTGCTGATCGTAAATGTCTGAGGCAAAGCCATCCACTCTGACCTACTGGCCGACCAGAGAGGTAGTCCATGGTCCAGGATGCAGTGTGCCAAGGTGCAGTTGCATTGCCATGAGCTGGGTGGGAAATTTAGCACCAGTCACCATAGTAAAATTATGGTAAAATATGAAAGCGGTTGGTAGATTTCAGACACAAAACAATGATTTACAAATGAGTGGCTGGTGAATTTGAACAATCGTCTGTCTCTGACTTCTGACAATCTTGGGAAATAAAGGGGAATTTAATGTGTAATCATGCTGTAATTTCCACTTGTGGCAACTGTTCTGCAAAGGTTATGTCGTATTGCTCTGCCTTCATTGGTCATGGATGTTTTCATTCTTGTTCATGGGGATTTCCAACAATCCCAAATCACTAATATATTCTCTCATTACACTTACCTGGGCAATATCCTCAATTCTTTGCTGCCTCAGGTTTTAAATGATGTATGCCAGAAATGTTGGTTGGCGTCAAAATGTTGTGACAATATGACACAACACCCAGAAATAAACAGTGCAGTAACAAATCGTAGTCAAGTGAGGTGAGTTGCAATCTCTAACTGCAGTTCATGTTTTGTCTAAAAACAGTCAGAGTGTAAAAAGTACCAGAATCAGCATTAAAACCTCATTATGTGTCATTTGTGTGTGAATGTAGTGACTACAGTGCC